AGGAGAATATTTCACCAAAGTCAAGTGAGGAAAGAGTTGCAAGAATAGCAATAATATAGTGGTACAGTACATGATAAGTTAGTCACTCACTAACCCTGTGGCCTTGGCTGAATTACTTTCTAAGTTTAGTCCTTTAGAATTTCAAAACCTTTATCTTCAACTGTAAAACAGGGATAAGAGAACCTCAAAAAGCTGTTGAAGATTAAGTGAGATAATACATTTTAATACAGTACTACTACTAATAGAATGGGGAACTTAAAAATGCCAATGAATTCTGCATGAGGTTACTAGCATCCTGTAAGACACTATTTTCAGAACAGGGGGAGCTCTGTGCTTGTAAGACTACAGTGGGTAAGGAAGAAAGCTGGGAAGCGAGGATAAACTATTCTGCCTGTAGAGCCTACAGAAAAACAACAGTTTTGTAACCTTTGTCTTTATCTTTCCACAGCTCTCATCATCATCTTCTGCCCAGTATAGTCAGTACCTGATCCATACGAAGGGCACAACAACACACACTGCTGAACATGAGAAAACTGAGCTGAAAGGAAGGAATAAAGAAGCAAGAAATCGTAGTTCTACAGAGAATATTAACCAGCATTAGAAGCATAAAATTCCGTTCCAGGTTAGCCTCGGAAAGGAACAGACATGCTTTATTCTCTGACTCAGAAACAGAAGGTAAGTGGGGTAAACCATAAAGGGGATACAAGGAAAGGCGTACTAGACAGCTCCTGCAATCTTAATAAAGAATTAAAAGTTCTCTGCAGAGTAGGAGGATTCCAAACTCAGTCTGGAAGTTGAACAACAAATGAGGTGATCCCTCCATGCCTACATTGATTCAACAAATGAGGTGATCCCTCCATGCCTACATTGATTCAACTTCATTCACGTCTTCAGCACCTCGGCCTAGTCCCCCATCATCTCTCAGATTCTACCAGCGGCCTCCTGCACGGCTCCTCTTCCCGACTTTGGACTTCACCATTCCTAAGGTGTGGCGCCGTCTCCGGAGAGCTCGCACCTCCTTCCCCTGTGTCCAGGACTGTCCTCAGGAGAAGCCAACCCCTCGCTGAAGCGTCGGTGATCCTCCACCCACCAGATGACAATCATTCTCTCCTTAGGGCTACTTCTGTTCCCGAAACAGTCTGATTACTTGATTTATTGTTTCACATTGTAAACACTTCTTTTTGTCCGTTCCAGTAAACTCCTAAAGAGGGTAACATCTTCCTCATCTTTATTTCTCTGGCACTTAACTCAGCATTTAGTATACAATAGGCATTCAGTCAATGTTTGTTTTGTCTAATTGAAGTGAGTAATTAAATAACATGAGTAATGTCCTAACTAAAAGAAATGAGAAAACAAGAAATTAGTGTTCAAATCATTATTCAAAAAACCTTTCTACTTTTCTAAGTATTAAACATCAACTAAGATAATTTTTCTATTCTTACTAATGTAAAAGGGTTGGATAATTTTTAAAAACCCTCAATGCTTTTAAATAAATAATATTCTAATAATTGCATTTGAATATAAGTGTGTTCATGTCCTCAAAATTCACTGTGAACACAGTAATTAAATTATACTAGGAAGGGCTTACACAGGAAAAATACTTTGTCTTTTCAAGCTATTCAATAGCAGGAAGACATACACAACTGGACTAATAAAAAATAGACTATCCTTGCAGCAGAGGTAGCTAATGGAAGCATCTGGGTTTCAAAAGAGATTTTGACATTCAAAACTGAGATTATTTAATGGCATCAATAGCAAATATCAGGGGCTTTCACAAATTAAGTAGTTGTCCGGATAAAACTGAAAGCAACAGTTACCAATACGCTGACTGGAAGACCTGGTACACGAAGTTCCTAAGCTAGATCAAAATTAGTCCATCAACAATTTTTAACATTTTAGTATTCTCCTAGGCCTCAAGAAGATTGCAAGGCTAGCCAAGTTATTATTACTAGGAAATTTTCTGGAGTCATAGAAAAAATTCTAAGTTTCTGTAAAGTAAAATATCGCATTTTGTCTTATGTTCATTAATAGGTTGCTCTTTGCTTAGATCTTATTTACTGGAGGAATCTCACATTACCTTTTTATGGTTGTTATATTCAAGAAATCTACTTTAGACAGATTATATCCATTTTAATATGTTATAAAAAATCCTTTGAATACATAATGCCTTATTAGCAAATTTATAATATTAAAAACAATTCCTTGAAATATTTTGAATAAATAATTTTGATTTCACAGTGTAGGAAAGCAACTAGCATTTAGTTAACTTTACTCACAGAGTATCAGGTCTTGTGCTGAGTACTTTAAGTGCTAGTCATTCTTTTCTTCCTAACCCTGACAGCTGAGATTACAACCCAGAACTACTTGATTTTACAGTCTGCTCTATTTTTTTAAAATAAAGCCCATGACCATGACCTTTATTTTATAATGAATTTTGTTAGATAGCTACACAATGAGTTTCTCAGAAATTACATAAAAAAATCAGAATGGGAGCAAACACTGCCTTACCATTGATACACATATACACACAGCTGACTGCCTAAACTTGATCTAAAACACACTGTAATCCAATCCACAAACAGCTGCCCTTCAGCTGCAGTCCGGAGTGTCCCACAGTTCTCAAAATATTACTCAAGTTTATTCCTCGTGAAATTTCTTCACATTAGATCCACAAGTCTTCTTTTAACAATGAAATGTTTGTCGGAATAACAATTTCTTAAACAACAGTGTCATTAAATAATGAATCTAATTCAGATTACTTTTTTTATTCTAAACTTCCTTGGGATTCAGGAATACAGTTCTCGTATAACCTCTCACTCTTAGTTGCATACTGCTTTTACCATCTGTTTCAATGGGCTGTGTATATTTCATTACAAACTGAAATACATTTTGTCAAGGCAAGTAGAACTTTTTGAATAAGCTAGAACCCCCTATGGGTATATGGGCTCACTAAATATTCAGGGAATACAGTATTTTAAATAGTGAATGTACACAGTTATCGGTGCATCTGAGTAAAACTGGAGTGAACCAAAGGCATCAAACCATTTGTACTGTACGAAGATTTTACAACCCAAAACTTGGACACCAACCAGAGAAACCACTTTATATAGGAACTCAGCAAACACAATTAAAGCACAACTGTAAATTATTTCTAGCACCACATCCAAGCAGGCTTTTAATGTACAAACTAGACTCAAAATCTAATGAATGCTCTTTCCACCTCTATCTAAAGCATATATTCTCATATACAAACCAAATCACTAATAAACTGTATGTCACAGAACTCAAATGCTGATTTTCAGCCCTGTGGAAATTTTGCTTATTTTGTTAGGAAATTTACTAGAAAACTTTTTCCCACATATATTTTATATACAGTTTTCATGTGTGTCTTATAAGTGTATTTTATATAATAAAGTTTCCACAGTGACACAGAAGTCAAAAGCTTTCCATCTTTAGTAATATTCAAACCCCATCTGCTAAAAAAAAGTTCCAATTTAGTGATCTAATTAGTTGCTATTTCTATTACTAAGCCCTTTGGTATTATACAGGGTCAAGCAGAAGTAAGAACTGCTTAAGTGTGGCTGGTATGGTAATAATATGGGTGTACTAATTTAAATTTGAACATTTCACCTAAAATGTCATATGGTGTGCCTGAGTGTGATATTGTTACATTACAGAAGTACATGCTTATGCTTTCGTAATAAAAAAGGGGCGTTATTTGCGCCGGACCCTGTATTTTTATCCTCTTCTTCCTGTAAAAGGATCTGGTTCACCAAAAGCAAAAGTCCTGGAACTTTCAGAATAAAATATTCTTTAAAAAAATGTACTCTGGTAGCTACACTGAAATTAACCTCTTAAGTTTGTAAAACGGTAATCTTACCTTTTGATGCATAAAATAAATGAAAGATCGCACTATGCTTTAAATACAGAGATGAGCTCGCGTCTAATACTAGTAGATAAGTCTTTCAAGCATAACACAAGTTCAAAAATTTATTTTTACATAGAGTGTTTACAGTGACTTGTTTAACTTCCCAAAGTGTTTCTCAGATCTCAAAAAGGAAACTGACTCTGCACAGCTCGCCCAGGTTACACTCGAAGCAAGCTGCGGCCAGTGTGCAAGAAGACTTCTCCGTTTTGAGTAGACCAAATCCGGTCTACGGTGGGGGGAAGAGAAGAAAAACCTTGTACACACAACCAACTAGACCTTCAGCCAGACTTTGCCCAGTCAAGTCCAGTCCTGAGCCTAACAGCAGAAACTCCGGCCGGCGGCCGGATCAGGTCTTTAAAAACACCCCGGGGCTTGACGCAGTTCCGAAGGTGTAAACAAACCCACGGCCGCGGCAGGAGGTAAACAATGAACCTGCGGCGGGGCGGCGGGCGGTCTCCGCCAACCCCGGCCCCGCGGCCGGCCGCGCCGGGGAAAGGCTGGCGGCAGGGAGACCGCAGCGCGGATCAGACACTGAGCGGCGATCGCCGCTCTCGCTTTCGGCAGCGAGTCACCGAAGCCCCGGCTCCCCGGGGCGGTGGGCAAGGAGCAGACAGACAGGCGGGCGGCGAGGACCGCGCGGCTCCTGCTTCTGCAGGGGGGGACGGGGAAGGCAGGATGTGGTCGCTCTTCCCACAGACATCCTCCCGCAACCTAAATAACAACCTCCAGGCTCCCACCTCCCTCCGGCCGCCCCGGGATTCGGCTGCCCCAACTCGGGGACAAGAGTAAGACGCTTCCTCGGGGACCCACGGAAGCCGGAGGCTGGCCGGCGGTGCCGAGCCCCGCGCGGGGCTCCCCGGGTCCCGCAGCACCCCAGGCCCGGAGCAGCTCCCGGGGCGAGGGAAGCGGGCACCACCGGGAAGGGGGATGGGTCCGGGGAGGCGGCCCCGGGCTGGGGTTCCCGCACCCCCGCCCGCCGGTCCCGTGCGCGGTCCGCCCCTGCCGCCGGCCCCCAGCCGCGGCTCCACCCCGGCACCGCACCCTCGCCCGGGCCCGCGCCGCCCCGCGTTACCTCGGGTCAGGTCCAACGGGACGTTCTCCTCGCCGCTGTCATTCCGCCCTGCGCGAAACAGACACACAGCCCCAATTAGGAATCGCTGGCAGGCCAGCGGCGTCGGCCAGCCCCGGCTTCGGCCAGCGCCCCGGCTTGCTCCCGCAGCCCCGAGCCGAGGGAAGGCAGGGGCCAGGGATGGCAGGCGCCGGGCGGTGAGGGCGAGGGCTACAGCGGGCTTACCTCGTATTCGGAGGTTCTTCAGCGAGCGACCGCGGCCGATCGCCGCCATATTGACGGGTTTCAGTCACAACACCGGAAACCTCGCCCAATCGCGCGAGAACCCCTTCCCCTCCCTGCGCGCCGCGCCCGCCCCCCGCGGCATCTTCCCCGCCCCTCCGCGGCGGCGGTTCCGCCGCGGGCGCCCTGCCTTCTCCGACCCGATCCCGGGTTTGGGTGCAACTTGCAGCTCCTGCGTCCTCTGCTTTGTCTGTCGGAGGTTGCGGCGACGCGCCCGGCCCTCCGGGAGCACGCCTGTCGGGAGGGGGCATCTCCCACTAAGGGAATCCCATTGATGCGAGTTTACGGCGTGGGAGATGCTTCCCCTTCGCCGCCGCGGAAACCGTGGTCACGAGCCCAAGCAGCCTGGGAGGAGGCCGGGATGGGACCGGCTGGCCACCTGCCGAAACCATCCTGTGTGATTTTCCTGCTTGCTTTCAAGCACTGGGATAGGATAGGCAACCCCCTTCCTTATTAATCAATTAAAACGATTTTTACTAAAAACAAAAACACGCTGCGCACAGTGTTAACGTAACTCAGTTCTCTTCTGAGAGTTGCTTTGCTCCACAAAGTTTGTTTTCCACCCCGGCTCTACCCTCCGTGCTAAGCGGCCTTGCATTTGATCTGCAAAGCCAAGCTCGACCGGGGCCTCCCACCAGTGGAAGCGGTCGAGGAAGTTCTGTTTAGCAGGAGTGCGGGGTGGTCGCCCCTGGCGGTGGGTTGGGTCGTCCTGCCTGCGGATGCCAGGAGGCCCGGGGAAGGCTTTCCTCTCCGCCTGGAACCGAGAGGGCTGTTGAGGGTTGTGTCCGGGTTTTCTGTCTGTGTAGCTGCTAAAACAGTGGCTAAGATAAATGTGGGTTAGTACTTTTAATGTGTAAGCCTAACAGTTGTTAACGCTGGAGAGTTTAATTCTAGAAACTGCTTTAGCTGATTAACGTACAAACACCTGGCCTCTGACCCAGCAACTTTTCCTTAAACTACATTAACTTTAGAGAGAGGATGAGCGTTTTGTTGCGTCCTATTCCTCAACACTTGTGTTTTTTATTCCGGAGACTGGGAATTAATTGATAGCGGGAAACTTGCCTTAACCACCTCTCTTTCCCAGTGTCCGAAATGCAATGTCCGGCACAAATAAATGTTCGATATATAATTATCGAAATATAAATTGGTTGAGTAAATGCCCGGATTACTTTGTTTCAATGCTCTTGCTTGGAAAAAAAAGGGAAGGAAAGAGCAATATTGAAGATACTAATTGCAGTCGTTAACAATAGTGAACAATTGGAAACACTTAAATGCCCAAAGATAGGATTTATGAAAATTATTGCAGTCATTAAAAGTGATGAATAAGGTCTAGCATATTTAATAGGAAGTGATGTTCGTGATATTAAATGAAGTGAGAGATTACAAAATTACCATTTTTATTAACGTTTAAGATATATATCAAAAGCATACTTTGATCAAAATATTTTACATCTCTCTGTAGGTAGAAAAAGTCTGAGGTAATATACATCAAAATGTTAACTGATTTTTCCCTTCATAGTGGAATTACATATATACAATTTTTGTTCTTTTTTGCTTGTCTGTGATTTCAAAATGTCCTATAATTAATATATAGGGTGGGGCAAAGTAGGTTTACAGTGGTATGTGAAACAATTCATTCTTGTATTATTTCTTAATCATTGTGTTATTTTCTATACTAACAACCATAAACCTACTTTTGCCACAGCCTGCATGTCAATTGTAAAATAAATAAGTTTTAAAAAGGAAAATAAAAGCAGTATGGAGTAGTATCATCAGGAAAATAAAATAGGCACACTGCTTCCTTAATACACTGCCCCCTGTGCATTCCAGATCATTTTCGGGTTAGATGTGCAATCAGGTATCTGCTGCTGATACTGCACTTAGATTCAAGGATGCACCACAATTAGAGTACTTTTTAAAAAGTGTCTCCTGACATCACCAGTAATAATTTTAATAATAACCAACTTGCTCCCTCTTTTGTAGGTTTTAAGTCTTGGTGCAAATGATTCATTCTTCTTACAGCCTCAGGCAAAATTCACAAAACTTGAGGTCTGGCTAGAACATTAAAAATTTATATTTCATCCCTCCTTGCATTACCACATTTCACGATTTTACAAGAGTTGAAATCTATCAATGTAAATTCTATCAGATCCATAAAATTTTTCATATTTTCAAACTTTCTTATCCTTCTCTATTCTAAATTAACTCCTTCCTAATACAATTTAACTTTATTTACTGTTTCAGTCTTTCATGAAAGTTGAGTACAATTGATCCACTTTTACATTATTTAGGGTACAGGAGAACCTGAATTCAGTAGCCTTTCATCTTTATAACTGTATATTTCTGTGTAGAGAGCATTATTCAATCACTCCACCTCTTCCAGGAGAAAAAAAAATCAACCCTCTTCAGGCTTAAAATGAAACTAGTTTTCCCTCTGTTACTATCTTAGTCATTTGAATGGCTGTGTTCTCCACATGTGTTCTTACGGTGAATGGCATTTCTGGAAAAAAAGAACAAGTTGTTAGTGTTTGCAAATGACACTCAACTAAGCAGCAGGAGTTTGGGTAAATTTTAGTAAGGAACACACTTCACAATGTGTGTGTTTGCTTTTTAAACAATAGCACTACATTCTTTTTTAAAATATCTTCTATACTTGCCAGTTACTAGCCATTCATTCCTCTTCTTGAAACTTGCTTTTCTTCCTCCCCCGCCCCCCATTCCTGTTTCTTACTCATTTTGTTTACTTCTTGCTACTTCTCCAATTTTCCGGGTCATTTCGATTCTAATCTGGTCATTGAGAATGTGACTTCCTCTTCTTAGTTTTCATTCCCCAACTAGGTTTCATTTTCTGTGTGAATGACTGTTTTTCTCATAGTATTAGTCATTGATAAAAAATGTTACATGAGATTAGGTCCAGTACCACACCTCTGAGAGATAACTGCTGGATTCGGACGACGGAAAGACCCCAGGGACGTCACGCTCTGGGGTCTGCTTTCTGTCCTATCGCACGCAGATACTATTCTAGCTGGTAAACCACATCGTATTGGTTTCGGGTACAGTGGTAACAAGGATCAGAAATGAAGCCTTGCCGAAATCTTAGTTCCCTTTATCTGCCTTATGACCTAGGCCGTGTGAATGAAGATGAAGCGAGTCAAGAACCACATTTGGTCAGTCTTTTCTTTTTTTTGGCAATTTCTCTTCATCGTTAAACCACACATGTAACACTTAGATAAAGGCCATGAAAATGACGGGCAGTGGGGTCCTGGCCAGGCAGGGCAGTTGGCTAGAGCTTCGTTCCTATATGCCAGGATCGTAGGTTAAACCCCGGGTCAGGGCAGGAGGAAGCAGCAAACCAATGAGCGCCTAAGTAAGTGGAACAAGAAAGTGATGTTCCTCTCTCTCTCTCTCTCTCTCCCCCTTTCCTTCTCTCTCTCAAATCAGTCACTATAAATAATAATAAAGCGACAGGCAATGGGCTAAATTCAGCCAATGTTATATAACCCTACACAGGGTTGTTTATAAAGATTCAGCCTCGGTCACAGCAGGAAGTAGCCTTTTAGTATTGTTGCCTTAAATTTTAATTTGTCACAAAATCTTTACATTTCATTTTTAAAAAATTCTGGAAGATATAAAGGCCCTCTATGAGCACAATTGTAAACGAAGGAAAGCCTATGTTTGTGAAAGAAGAAGACATATATTTGTAAAATAAAATTTGGAAGGTTGTGTACTGAAATTTCAACAGCAATTATCATTGTTGGTTGGTAGAATTTTGAGTGATATTTTTATCTTTCTTTTTATCTATTTTTATTGTCCTAAAACAAATTTTCACTTGTGTAATTTTTTAAAGGAAAATATTATAGAGAGATTTTGCTGGTGATTCCAAACCACAATTATATGTATGTGATTATAATAAGTTGTTCAGTAAAGGACCCATGAAAATTGTTTGTCTGTTCATCTCATTAAAATAATTTGTCCACATACTCCAATATATGTATATTGACTTTTTTATTAAATAAAACATAAAGGCAAAAAAAATGGTTAAAGGTAATTTTTAATGTTATATTACAAATGGCACAAAAAAAAGCAATGGGGCTAAATATATTTCATTGTTTTTAGAATTTCTTGTTCAATACTTTGTGATATAGCAACTCGAAAGTCTCATTCCAAGAAGAGTTTATTTGGATGTTGGGATTTAGTAGCCGAAACCTACAAAATACAAATTAAAAAACGGAAGAACTGTTCTGCTGTCTGCAGTTTCTAAATTATAATATTCGGGTTTTTTTCAATTCTATCCATCAGTAATACAAAGGGTTTTTTTTTATGTAACTTGGCTAATAAATGTCTATCTTTTTAAGCATATTTTCTTGATTATGCTATTACAGCTGTCCCAATTTTTTTCTCCCCTTTATACCTTCTCTGCCTGTACACCCCCCCCCCCAACATTGCCCCCTCTCCTTAATTCATGTCCACGAATTGTACATATAACTTCTTTGGCTTCTCTGTTTCCTATACTATTCTTAACCTCTCCCTGCCTATTTTATTCCTACCAATTATGCTTCTTATTCCCTGTACCTTCCCCTCCTCCCCATTCTCCCCTTCCACCTTCACACTGATAACCCTCCTTGTGATCTCCATTTCTGTGATTCTGTTCCTGTTCTAGTTTAGTCTTTGTTTTTAGGTTCAGTTGTTGATAGTGAGTTTGTTGTCATTTTACTGTTCATAGCTTTTGATCCTCTTCTATTTCTTAGATAAGTCCTTTTAACATTTCATATAATAAGGGCTTGGTGATGATGAACTCCTTTAACTTTATGTATTAAATGTCTATCTTTCTTAATGTCAATTGGTTTTCATAGGCTGGAAGACATAACATTCAGAAATTTTTAGCAAATGGTTTTAAAACTCTTGACCCAAAGAATGTTTAGCTGGTTAGAAAAATCTGTTTCCAAGATTTTTAAGTGTGCTAATATTATAGAGGTGACATTTATATTTTTAATTGTTTCAGAAAAAAATCGCAAAA